CAATTGCCCCAATTAGGTAAGCGCCAAGCGTCAAACCTCATAAGCCAGCTACAAAGCGTCAAAAGTGTAGTGGTGTTGCTCCAGCTGTGGTGGGAGCCGCAAGGGTTGCACGAGCTGCTCCACCGCGTAGTCGACGGCAACGACCAATAACGCCCTCCAAAAAAATTTCTGAATAAGCCAAAACTTTCGTAGGCCTATATATAGTATAATCCTAGCTTTGCGCAATTTTATTACGATTTGTAGTGGCTCTACAGCCTCATCTTGTTGACTATATTGAGTTGTTGGGGGTGCTCAACTGGCGATGGTGCTCATCTGGTGCACGGGCACTGTAGGTCATTGCGCGTCCATGCAGGTTACCCCGGACCCTCAATCAACCTTGAATACCATCAAGCCACCATTGCATGCAAAACCGACAAAAAACTATCAAAACTTCCCTAAACTAGACCAATACTACACATCAGTGCCGCTAAAATGGTCGGCTCAATACCAAACGACATTTTCCAATTCTCCACCTACGCTGCTCTCAATGCGGGCTTCAACAAGGGCCAACCGCGAACAGCAGACCTAACATCGCACGGCACCGATGGCATTGGTGTCTATGAAGACGGTAGTCTGATGATCCTAAAAGGCCAACAAGCACATGCTATTTCCAGAGACGGAAAAGCGAAACCAGCGCCCATGGAAGCACGCCTGCCCCTGGCCTTGGTCACTGTATACGAGCCCAACTTCCGCATCAAAATTCCAGCCATCTCGCTAGACGCGCTTGAGGAACTCACGTCCTCGGACCAAATGGGCCCGACCAAAGGCGTCAATACACTCATGCCATTCCGCATCTTCGGCCGTTTCCAGTCGATTGAGTTTGAGCACGGGCCCAATCAGAGTGAAATCGACGGTATGATTTTTGGCTTCATTGTGCCCGAGTGGATGCGCAGTATTAGTGGTCCGCGTGTGCACGCGCATTTTCTGGATACCAGCGAGGAGGTTGGCGGGAGAGTGGCGGATTTTCATATCGCTGAGGAGGCGCTGTTGGATTTTGCAAAGTGTGGGAGGTTTCATTTGGGGTTTCCGCAGGGAGAAGAGTGGGAGAATATCAAGTTGTGATTGTGGGGTTTATGGAAGGACTTGATTATCCCACGGCTCTCCAACTTTACCACAAGATACGCAAAATAGGAACATGAATCACGGAATCATGATTATGGCTTTATAGGAGACATGGATTGTTTGATCAGGCCTGACTCGGTCTTTGCAATGGTCGTGGAATTCAGGGTTGTTATTACACCTGAGAGAAACTTGCGCCACGTTTGGACCTGGATGTCTAGTAGAAACCCGGCTTTAAAATAATCAATGGAAATTGCCTATAATCGCAACTCAAGAAATCATCAGACAACAAACAAAGCAATTTTCGCCCTACGACACGATGAAATAAAGAGTCAACGAATAGATGCGATACTGGTACCAACACTACAAAGACTGGCTTCTTGCGGCACGATGAACACGTGTGATACAACATGTAGCACAAGAAGCGCACTATGCTTCCTAAATCATGCGTAGCCAAATCAAAATAACTTGTACCAAACTAAGACACAAGTAGCGCGGTTGAAATCGTAAAGATGATAACAGTTGCCAAACCTCTCTTAAAACCTCAACATATCACATGTCTACACAAAATACATCCACCAAGAACAACAGAGAAGTGACCCACCTGTCTGAATACGCTACGGTGAGAAATACGGCCCGATTTTTGGCAAAATCTCAGTCATGACCACGAGCCCACGCGTAAGATCCAACTGATTAAATATCCCCGTATCTGAGCATCTACCATGTACAATTCTTCACACATTCCATCCTGCATTCCTTCCACCTCATCTCCCCTACTCCAACATGTCTTTAAACAGAAAACAACAACAACACTTATTGAGTGTTCTTCTTACTAGAAGCCGCTTAGCATGCGTCGACCTCTCCCAGGTAGCCCGCAATGCCATCCAAACCATGCGACAAGCATAAGCCAGCCCGAAACCCACAACATCTCATTCTCATACAGCATTCCACGTCGATTTAGAGTTGAGATGACTAAAGCGCTGCGGCAGCCCGCCAACCCTGGTTCTCAGACTAAACCGCAATAAGTAGGCGTGCCATGCTGGAAGTTGCTGACTAAGACGAGAACAACGTCCATCCATGAGATCTGCTCAACGTTGTTTCACCGTGCCGTACTCAAATGTGTTGGATTCGTAATTGAGGTGTCTTTTGATACTGCTTTGATTCGCGCGTGGCTGCGAGAGTAGATATCTGGTTTATACGAAGGGTAAGACACATTGCGACACTTCTTCGAGGGCAGCGTGTCTAGGTATGGGGGTTCATGTTCGAAATCGAAATGCGTATGACAGCGGTAAGGCGGTAATGGGAATATCGGGTTTGAGATGCGAATATGGTGGTTGTGGGATCAAGTCGCTGTGATGATTAGCGGCTGGAATCATGATCGGGTGTTTGTAGACAGTGGTCTGATGTGGAAGACGAACTGGGGTAACCACCGGAGGACGGAAGTGATTGAGGGCTTGCGAAGCACCAAATGAGAGTGGATCATTTGATATTCGCGGGATAGTCTGAGTACAATATTTGCGTGTGGCGATAGGAGAACGTGGCAGATGAGCGGGCTCAAGGGAAGACGTACGTTTATACGTCTATACTGCTTAAATCAGGATTAATCATGAAATGGAATGGATATTAAGATTAGATACAGACAATACTGACCGAATTTCGGCTTGAAACATATATAAAACAGAAAGATTTTGCAACGTGTTGCTGATCGTTGCGCGATAGACTGTTGTATGACTGAAAATCCACAAGTGCACTGCAACACCATCACGCCCTCGCGAGGAGACAGCCGCCTGCACGCCAAAATGGGCAGTTACTGCTACCACCTGTCTCACAGCATCCAGACACTTCCAGTAACTGCACGGTATGCATTCTCGGCAGTTGCATGCTGACGGAAAGTCACAGCCTGTCACTGTTGCACTAACCGCATGGGGAATGTAGTTTGAATGTTTACTTTGTGGTCGCCCCGGTCAACCAGAATCAGCATATGTGGCTAGAAGCCTCTTGGAAGGCATGATCGGCAGTATGCCGGCGTCAAATGGCGTGACAACTGGCCTGGGTGGGCAGATAGGACGTCATGCCAGGCGCTCTAGCTCTAGGCCTGCACCAGAACGGGGCGAGATAAGGCCTTCGTGGCAGTTTCTCTAGGCTATGAGCCCATAATCCAGCAAGAGCTGGTGCAAAGTCAGGCCATCATGGCGATTTCCTGAGCAAGAAGGCCTCGCTAGCTCGAGGCTAGCCTGCTGTATCAAAATGCTCTGTTCTATGGGCTGATAGCGGCGTAAGGGCTGGTGCGGGATTATGCCTTCCTGCCAGCCTCTTCGGTTCTGGGCGTATAGAGAAACTGCCGCTGGGGCGAGGCCACGTCTTCCTGTCCATTTCTCTGAGTCCCGGCCGATAAGGAAGTGGCTGGTAGTGGAAGCCTGGCAGTAGCCTAGCGATGATCTGGCTTCGTGCCAGCCTCTTTGATTCTGAGCCTGTAGGAAAATGACAGCTGTGATGAAGCCACATCTTCCTGCCAGCCACTCTGGTTCTGGGCCTATTGGGAAGTGACATGTGACGGGGGCATGTAGGATGATCTGTCTTCATAGCAGTCTGGACGGGGCCGGACTGTGACGAGAGGCAAATTGTACGTTATCAGCGCGATTTTCTCTCAATGTATGACGCTCGAATTATTCCAAAGGCCGGCTGATGATGTGTCCTCATGTGTCTTCATGTGAGTCCTTGGCGGCTCTGGTCAGGAATATAAACCCCCTCCGCTCCCTCTTTCCTTCTCTTCTTCTTCACACCACTTGAGTCGTCTGCCGCTTCTTGTACAAGCAGCCATAGCCACTCAAGATGTCTTCGAGTACTTCCTCGATCAGGCTTTCGCGGGCTTCCACCCGCCACACGACTTCGACTCACCTGCCACGCTCGGAGCGCGCCGCCACGCGTATCCAGACTGGCAGCAACCGCTCACCTCAAGACCGATCAGGTGTAAGTGCATACCCCTCATGCCTTTTACATGTAGCTTACACTCAGGCAGCTTTTGTCGTCCAGGGAAGAGCGTGCCGCTGCACGTCTCCAACCTAACGGCACTCATCAAGGCCGCTCAGGGATGCCGTCATCCACCCTGATGCCTTCGCCACGACCAGAACGCGCTGCGGCGCCTTCCATTCGCTCACGGTCGACTGCCAGTACTGCCTCATCGCAGGCAGAGATGTGTACCGCCCCTGCTCCAGTTGCATCGCGCACTGGGCGGGCAGCGCCGCGTCTCGCTGGCACCAACACGACTTCCTCGACGGAGTCATCCATACGGGTACCTACCCGTACGACGTTCTCTACATCAACGGCTGCTTCACGCGCCGAACGAGCAGCTGCAAGGCCCGCTCGTTCCAACACTGCCTCTTCGTCTTCCGAGGCATCACGAGACCAAACCAGGTCAACCCGCAAGACTCTTGCGGAGTATGCGGCCGCTCGTGTCGAATACGAGAAGCGCTCTATTGAGCGTGAGAAACGTTTCGCCGAGCGGCTTGCACGTCGAAAACAATCGGGCACCACACTCTCTGTGTCCGAGGCCAGCACGTCGTCACGGTATGAACGCGCTACGGCGCCTTCCACTCGCTCCGTTTCGACTGCCAGTTCTGGCTCATCTGGGGCACCGTCCCCATCGACAATCGACTCGCTAGCAGAGATACGTGCTAGACGCGCTCTACGCGCTGCCGAGCGACAGTCTCGGCTCGAAAATTCAGCCTCCCCGGGCAAGGCATCACTCGTTCCTGCCTCCAGCTCGAGTGCCGAAAGGTCTTCTGGGCTTGCTCGGAAGGTTGCTTGGAGTATTTCTTCTCCAATATGTTCGTTTGATGTTAATTGAAGTAGGACGAGGGACGCCGCGCTGCTCCTGCAGCAAGATCGTTTCCTCGCTCGACCGCACAGCCAAAGACGGACCTGAGCGACCCATTCGTTACAAGGTCGGCTCAGGCGGAGAGGGATCGGAGGTTTGAGGAGAGGTGCCTTCTGCACGAGGCCAGGATGGCGGCGAAGGCGAAAGAGGAGGAGAAGAAGAGGCGGCAGGAGGAGGAGGAGGAGGAGGAGAGGGACCGGGTTTACGAGGAGAGGCGGCTCCTCCATGAAGCCAGGATGGCGGCGAAGGCGAAGGCGAAGGAAGAGGAGGAAAGGAGGAGGAAGGCGGAGGAGGAGGAGCGGGAGCTGGAGGAGGAGAGGCGACGTCTTATCGAAGACATCATTCGCTACCGCGGAGAGAAGAGGAGGGAGGCGGAGGAGGAGGCACGACGTGCCGAGGAGAAGAGGAGGAGGGAGGAGGAGGAAGAGAGGCGCCGGGCGGCCGAGGAGGCACGACGGGTGGAGGAGGAGAGGAGGAGGAGGGATCGCCTTGCGGAGGAAAGGCGTTACGAAGAGAGGCGGGCGGCGAGGGCCGCAGAGGCCGAGGCCATTCGGCGAGAGGAGGAAGAGTCTCTCGTTCGTTTTACTGAGAGATACCATATTCACCGGGAGAATATGGCCGAGAGGGCGGCGGAACTCGAAGAGATCCGCCAGGAAGAAGAGCAAAGCCGTCTTCGTTTTACCGAACGAAGGCGCAAAGCGGCAGTTGATGAGGTTCGCCCACCCGTCCAACCAAAGGCAAAGAGGTTGATCATCACCCGCAACAAGGGGAAGCCCGACGAGGTTGTTTCTATCGTTTACCTCGGGCGCCGGAAGCCAGCTCAGGCTCCGGTATCATCCCGTCTTCCTGCTCCGGAGGCACCCACTCATTTGGCCCCGGAAGCGCCCACTCGCCCGGCTGGAGGAGCAGTCACTCGTTCTGCTGTTCCTACCAAGCCAAAGTTGACTATCCGCCGAGGTCCTGAGCCTTCAGTTCCTCAGCCCGATATGTCAGCCATTTTGGCGGCGGCCCTCAATCCGCCACCAATTACCTACAACCCGCCGACTCGCTATGGCAGGTTCGCCCAGGAAGCAGCTACTCGTTCGGCTCCTGTGGCATCCACTCGTTCCAAGGCCAAAGCAGCCACTCGTTGTGCTTTGGACGACACCACTGGATCAGGTTCTTGCCTGAAGAAGACCGGCCCAGCCAAGGCAAAGTCGGTCCAATTTGCGCAAGAGTTGGAGACTGTCCGCCGCTTCCAAGACGACGGCTCCAACGACTACCTTCTTTACACGCCGTATGAAGGTCATGCGGCAAAACGACCTGTCCAGTGGAAAACTGGATCCGACGAGCCTGCAGTGCTCGATCGTCCATATGAGACGATGTGGGTCCAGCAGATGAAGAAGGCTGTGCTGGAGGAGCAACGATACGAAACCGGAAGGTCAATTTATAAACCGGTTACGCAGTTCAGGCACTCCAGCCAGAAGCACCGGGTGGAGCAGGTTCGAGACTTCTACGGAGTACAAGCTCTCGAGCAGGCGACCGAAGGTGGAAAGTGGACCGAGGTCAAGCAGAAGTTTCCGTGCTTCTATGGCCTCAGGAACACCCGTGTTGGCACCAAGTCGAGGTGGACTGGTGTACTCCTGGACGATTGCTATCCCTTCGAGGATGGGTTCCACCCAAGGTCATTTGGGAAACTCGTACGAAAAGGGGAGCGATCAGCCTTCCTCAGCGAACCTTACCAGGTCAACGAAGGCAATCCAGGAGTATTCGCCAAGTACCAATGCGAAAAGGGGGGAGCATGTCTGAAGTTTTTACACGCTCGGAGGTGTGGATGCGACAATGCTTGGGTGCAGTGGTTCGGAACGCCTGGCGATATGAAGGCGTACCGCGTCCCACGACAAAAGGCCTACTCGGCACCCAGTTCACCCGAATCCAGCAAGTAGATGAAGGCGGAGTTTGCGTAGTCTTTGCCTGGTTCTTCAGCGCAGCTACCATCTCTTGACCTACCGTCTCTGCTCGGTTTCAGCTCCAGGAATTCGACACGGTCTGAGTCAGGTCTATGGCTACGACCGAGAAGAATATACGGAGTAGTGAACACCCTCTCGCCACGCACAAGTACTGGAATTTCCTCGATCTCCTCGTCTAGGAACATCCCGGAAACCCAGGAAAATGCGGACTCGACGCCACTTCTTCATCGCGGCAAGACTTTTCAAGTCTCTAGGTTGAATGTTACCCTGTAAAAACATGTCCCCAGGCAGGTCAAACCTGGGTATCAAAACCCACGCGAATAAGATCTCGACTACATCAATCTCTCGTCTCGGCGGAGGCTGTAGAGAGCGAGTTTTCGAATTTTGAAGGTTGAATGTCATCCTGTAAAAACATGTCCCCAGGCAGGTTAAACCTGGGAAATCAAAACCCACGCACAAAACGGTCTCGGTCACGTCAACATCTCACTTCGGCGGAGCACGCAGAAGGAGTATACCCGAGTGTCGAATCGGTTGGATGTGCGACCAAAAACATCCAAAAGGTTGAATGTCATCCTGTAAAAACATATTCTCAGGCAGGTTAAACCTGGGACATCAAAACCCACGCAAACGAGATAAGACGGCGACGGCAGGTCCCTTCCCTCTTGGCGGAGAGGATTGGATCGCGCTTAGCTGGTTCTCGATGGTTGGATGTGTGACCGGAAACATCCCCCAGTTGGCATGGACCTGGGTAATCAAAACCTCTGCCCGAGTCGGTTCGAGTCGATCCAAGCCGGAGTCGAGCGGTTGAGCTTTTATCGATGTAGCGGTTACTGTCTCGAGACAGCGATGCGAGCATTGGTACGGGAACCCAATCGGCGACGGTGAGGGTTGATGTCGGTTGCCATCGAGTTGAACGGTCGAGCCTTTATCGATGAGGCGGTCACTGTCTTTCGAGACAGCGATACGAACGCCGGTACGGGAACCCAATCGACGAATATGGCGAACGATACGGACCGAGGAGGATTTCTTTTGTTCGGGTTGGGATTGGTTTTTTTTGTTTTTATTATGTTTCCTTTGTTTGAGTTGGGATCGGGGGTCGCATTTGATTGGGATTTGGTTGGGATTTGGATTTCGGCTTTGTTTTCGTCTGGCCAACTTGCTGATGGTACTGCTAACTGCGTCTAGGGCGACGATGATGATACCCCCTTCTCTTCCCCTCTTCCCTCCTTCTTTCCCCCTCCCCTTCTCCCCCACCCTTCCGTCATAGGTTTGTCATTTTCTTGGATCTTACTACTTCTCACAGGTTTCGACGCGGCCGGGTAATGCTTTTAGGCGCAAGCCTTCTCTTTTTTCCTTCATTTTTCTCCTCATCTTTCGGGGTCGACTTCAAACCCACGCTAAGTACTCTCTTATCCATACGCCTCATCATTGATTGACGAATTCGCAGGTTCATCTACAACTTGATTGTTTTTTCTTTTTATAAGTATCTCCTACCACTCATGTATGGCCTTTGTGTTAATGCACGAGATTCGACAGGTGTGCGCGATGCTGCAGCGTCGCGCGCTTCGGTCAGTCGGAATATTGGACGACGAGCTCTCCCACCTTCCCGCGGTGTCCGACGTGAGTAGCCTCGAGCGAATAGTCCGTCATGGCTTTTTTTCGATTGAGGAGAAACCAAGAGGAGAGATTGGGGGGGATATGTGGATGGTCGATCTTGATAGGTACCAATATCAATCGTTTGCCTTGAATCTATGCTGACCCGCGTCTCATGTTTTTTATTGTTCCATTAGAGTCTAGTGAGCTCGAGGCTATGTAAGACTTTGGCCGAGGCCGTTCTAACTAGATTTATTTACAAATACGAGTTTGTGCTTGAAGTGTGTCTGTGGTGCTTCGGCCTTTGTCT